CCGGCAGCCTGAAGAGCACTGACAAACACCTTACGGTGGCAGTCGGGGAACGACAAGGTGTTGCTCGAAGTTGCCGGCGGCGCCGCATCTTATGTTCGATCAATATGGCGTCGCCGAGCCTTGAGGTGATGGGAGATCATAAGTCGGGTGCCTCGCTATATGATGCTCCGCCGGGGACCCCACTCAGCGAGCCGATCAAACTGTGGCCGGACGCGCGACGAGAATTCGTGTTGGGTCGGGGTTGTATTGGGTGCCGCGGAGACAAAGTGTGAGCGTGTGCGTGACTCTCCGCCTGCAGCCACAATTACCGCATCATGCTGTCCGCGATGGCATGGCACGGCGGCTTTTGAGCGGTAAAGTCGTGCCATTCGTGCATACTAGGTCTGGGGTTGGCTGGCTGGCATGCCGATGTAGTCAACCATAGATAGACCGTCTCCTCGTAGGCATCTGGTCTCCAAGGAAAGACTGTGGCAGGGTATCGTAGTTAAAAAAAAAAAGCGCTCATTGGAGTAGCTCTGCCATGTGGCATTCTAACAACCACTGCAAGAGCCTGGAAGTCACTCGCGAGTCATTGAGGGACAGGTTGAGTAAGCAAATAGCTGTCGATACGGGGATCTGTCGTCTTGGTTGTACGGGTCGCGAAGCGGTCGACATATGGCTTCCAGATCTGGCCTAAGGAGCCGGGATATTTGAACAGGCAGACAATATCAGACAATAGGGGCGCTCGTTGGGACGTGGGCCTCTGGGCCATGTGGTGTTTTAGCCTCTTGGGTCTGCGATGTGGGGTCGACCTGCGCGCTAGTGGGCGCCTTTTCTCTTCGCGAAGCTGTACGTCGGAGGGATGGAGTGCGGTGGTGCGGTAGAGGTTGGTCGTCGCATGCAGTAGTTCTCAAGAGCCAAACATGACAAGTGATGGGCGGTATCCTATCGGGGAGGCGGGTTGGTGAAGGGTCTGCTTTGCGTCTGCTTTGCAGGCTATAGTAGCGGCTGGACGGCAGCTGTTGTGTTCCAAGAATAAACGCAGGCAGGTGGGTGCATGAGGACGTGGCATGTGGTTGTAGCGATCCCAGGAGAGGAAGGCTCCGTTGCAACCTGCGGCTGGAGGCTGCAATGCGATTCGACGGTGACATGAGCGATCACATCTCTCGCGCTACTCTCGAGGAGCTAGTCCTAGCGCCATCATCAAGACAACGGGTGGTTGGAGAATCGTCCGTCAGATCAAGCCATCGGTGTCAGTCTCGATAGCGGCGGCAGCGAGGCAGAGTGGCAGGCCCAAAGTCGACCACAAACGAGATAGTGCCAACGGCCACATACACCAGAGAGGTTAGTGCCGATGGCTAGAGAATCCTTGAATTCCAGCGCTCCGTTTGCCGGACTCCTCGCTAGCTTCCGATTGGGGTAAGGAAAGCGTTTGTCGACTCTGGCGCCGGGCGGCGTGTCACGATATTGGGTGACTAGTCGGCGGAGGACGACTTGGATGGTGGCATATGGGACACCATGTCGGGTGAAGATTCCAGCACCGTTGGTGAATGCATTCTTCGACGAGGTCAATCGCAGGTAGGACATGATTGTCAAGGTGGTGTTGGCACCATCAGCCCTCAGGGCAGGGTGGCTATGACCCTGACTTGACATGATGAGCGACCAGGGTGGAAAGCCTGATACCGAGACTGGTGAAGGCTGGCTGGTGGTGGTTGCTGTCTTTGGGCGATTCAAGTCGGGGTTAGAGCCGGGATTTGGTAGCGACAACGCCAGGCGCTGGGTTGGCGGGCGTGATTGAAATCGAATCTATCCGCGCAGAGTGGAAATAGCAGTGCGATGGTAGCATCGAGAGCCCACCCTCCGCAAAAACGCGCTCAAAGGGCGTCTGTTCTTACTAGGTAAGGTGAGGTTGGGTCGAGGTGTGATGCGGAACATTGTGAAGTCGACACTGGGCACACACTGGACGACGACGACACGGACCATTTGCGGGACGAGAAGCGGGAGCACCTCCCCTCGACAGGCCCCATGGGAAAGGAAAGAAAAAAGGAAGGAAAGAAGACTGAAACACAGCCCCAAAAGCGGCATGGCTTCAAAATCGGACCAGCAGACCGGATTGGATTGGATCCGGGAGGACCGGGGGAGCACAGGTGGGTTCCAGCTGGGCAGTCGGCAACGGTCACTGGACTGGACAGCTCAGAAGGAGGGAAAAAAGACAGAGAAAGCTTCACGAATGGGGGGAGGCAGTCGCGTCACCCCACTCGAGCTCCTTCTCATCGTACAGCTGTCACTGCAGGCTGCAGGTGAAGGTGAGTGAGTCGTGCAGTGGACTGGCGACGGGACAGCAGGTGGGGTTTGCTGATCCGGTGAAAGGCGAGGCCCGTGGATCACAATGACTTATTTTAGGCGGGCTTGTACGTTTTGCCTTGAGGCTCTGACACGGACGGGTGGGAAGTATTTGAAGTTTGGGGATGTTGGAGTTTGGGACAGAGTTACGCAGTATTAGTACGAATGCTACCTCTTCGGTGGAATATCAATTATACTTTTTTGACTTTGCAGAGGCAAAGATCTAACAACATCGGCCCCCAATTCGAGGCATCCATCCTCGCACTTTGCTATGGAAAGGTACCTTGGCTTGATGAATGTCGCCTTTGGTTCCCTTGATCGACGCACCTGGCCTGGGCAGGGACGGGCTCAGGCACACGATGGTATCAACTTCATATGGGTGCATGTTTTCTGGGTGTTGCTCGCCCACATTCCTGGCATCCCTCGCGTCGCTCATACGTCCTCACCCCTCGACGGCGAGGAGGGAGCGCCCGAGAGTGAGACTCAGACACTAAGGTGTGCAATCATCGGATAACGGGCATGCGCGCACGTTCCGGCTAATGTCAATTCATTCTTGACATTGGATTTGGTCACTTGCGTCCGTCCAGTGTTTCCTTGCTGCGCGTTTCCCCTGCGTGGTCTGGGTGCCGTTGGTGGTGTTTAAGTGGTGTTCAAGAACTGGCTTGCCTCGGACGGGCAAAGACACCGAGTTCGGTCGGTGGAGGTGTGGTGTCGACAGCGCGGTGTGTGCTCCACGCCCCAAGCACTGACCTCAAACAAGGACCATCCCCGACGCAGGAGCCAAGCAGGGGACCTGCCATTTGCCAGTCACCACCCACCAGTGGAAAATGAGAATGGAACAGCAAGATTTGACTCTCGTCTGGCTGCGGTCTTGTTCTGACCTGTGTCCTTTCCATTGTCATTCATCATTGACGAGACGAGACGACTCGACTCGACTGACCTTCCGTCCGACCTGCTAGTGCAGGCAGGCAGGTACTTCTACTGCTGATGGTAAGACCATGCATGGTCCACCCTGGCTTCTCGTCTCGTCTCGTCTCGTCCCGTCCTTTCGTCTTCTCCTCCAGGCTCCATGTCCTCCTCCTCTTTGCCTCTCTCGGAGAACATTACTGTATCCTAGACACGTTAGATGCACCATTGGCGCCGTTCCAATGGTCCGTATCCTCCTCCTACCTTAGCCGTGCATGCATGCTTGTTTCATCCCGCTAGTAAATCTGCATTCTGCGGTCTATTCCACTACGGATTATTCCCCCATTCACCCGTATCTGAGGTCCGACAGCCGTGCCGGCCGCTGCCTCTTCCACAGTCTCTCTTTTTTTTCTCTCCGTCTGCTACCGTGTGTCGCAACGCAACGGCAATGCCCCGTCAGTAGTTCCTTGCAGCTTCTTCTGCACCCCCTGTCGAGATGCCGTCCTGTACCTCGTGAACCACCTTGCTCTTGAATGGAGGTATCCATACGGAGACCGTAGCTACCACCTACTACCCGGCCGATTCTGTACGGATATGGATACCTTGCACGCATCTCTCGCGCAGACCCGATACCGTCGCTTTCCTTACATGCCACTGCTTTCCCTTTTCTCCCGCCCTTTCTTCTCCTGCTCCTCTCTTGTTTCTTTTTCCCACCCGGTGCCGCGCCGTCTGCCGTTGGAGAGAGACATACATGCCTACAGATAATACTCCTCCTCCCGACCGCAGCCCCTCCACTCCCCTCCCCCAGCAGCAACATCCAACCAACCATACCATTCGTTCACTTCTTTCCACAACGTACCGTACCGTACCCTGCCTGCCAGGTACCCTACTTTACCTTACATCAACCCGACTGCACCGCGTCCTTTGCATCTGCATCACGCCCACCACGCTCCTTGGCCAATAACTCAGCCTCTCATATTGTATAATTCAACCCTCTCCCGCCATCCCACCCCATCCAATCCCTCCTCGCCCTATCCCCTTCTTCCCACTCCTCGAACCTCGATCCTACCTTGCCTTAGCGGCACGCTACCGCCCGTTCTAATCAACGTGCTCCTCCGGCCGCCTCGTCAGCCTGTCGCAGAGCTGCCCGGGTGCTCCTTTGATACATGACGCATGTGCTGCTAGGGTCCCCCCTTCTTAGTGGCATAACTTCTTCCCCAATCCCCCATCTCCTCGTGGGTTCTTCTCCTTTATTCGCCTCCTTCATCGTGCTTTGATTGTTCAGCCCGACCGATCTCCGTCTACCTCTTGCGCCGCTGCGCCGGTTGAGGGCCTTTGCCACTGGACCTCTCTAATCCCCGACGAGCCCAGACGACGGGCGGCATTGCTGGACATATGCACCATGAATCAGGTTACAGCATAGATCACCACTTGGCCTAGACTCCGGGCGTCCGATCAAGATTTCCAGACTCACCTGCTGTCTGCCTACCTGCTTGCCTGGATATTGGATATCCCAGACGAACTGTCACGGCTCGGCACCGGACATCACCCGTCTGCTGGCTCAGCTCTTGGACCTCACATCAGCATTGTTTCTGCCCCTCCTCGTCATTTCCCGACAAGCCTCACTCTCATGGCTTACACTGGACCACAATCATATACACCGTCCCTCCTCCGTCGTCCTCTTTTACACTCGTTCTAGCCCCCAGCTCCAAGAGCCGCCTAAAAAAAATCAAGAAAACCAAAATCCCACCTAGGTCACATCCAACTCAGCCATGGGCCTTTTCAAGTCGGCCAACTCCCCTGCACCTAGCGCCACGAACCGTTCCATGACGGGCCAGTCCATTCGTGGCAAAATATCAGGCCCAATCCCCATCCCGAATCCCATCGACGACGAATTTCCCATGCGCAACCCGGGCACCGGCATTGCTACGCCGGTAACTGAAGGCAACATGAGAGAGCAGATGATGAATCCTCCCCAGGCCGACCCCGTGGTTGGATCAACTGTTGCGACTCCCCAGCCCGAAGTATCACAGCCGCCGAGGACCGAGTCCGTTGTTGTCCCTCCGGGAACCGGCTCAACTTCTGGCTCGTCTCCAACCGCCGCGTCCCACGCCAACTCCCACGCCAACTCCCACGTCAACTCCCACTCCAATTCTCCTCAGTCACAAAGAAGAACGAACGTGTCTAGCAACCTGAGGTACTCTACGGTCAGCGCTGCGTCCGAACAGACCGGTGCGAGCAAGGAAAGACCTCAGCGCAAAAAGTCAACTTTGCGCGGCGCATTGGGGAAGCTGTTTGGTCGCAAAAAGAAGGGCAGCCAAGGCTCGTACGACTCGCAGCGCATGTCGACCTATAACCCCACGAACCCAAACCAAAACCAACACAAGAGCGTGAGTTTCGGCAGCGGCCGCTCCCGTGCCATTGTACATCTCTTGATTTCAGCAGAACGGAAGCTAATTCGAGCTACTAGGACCCTTCCGCTTTAACCCGAACGAAGGAGTCCGAACCAAAGCGATCGGCGTCTCTGCCGATCACCGAGTACGACAGAGCATTAAGGTCTCACTCTATCGGTCCCCAGGATATCACGGCTATTGAGAGCGCGCGAAATTCGATCACAGTCGACCCATCGCAATTGCAAACGAGCCGTAAACGTGCGGCTACGTCTACAATAAGCCAAATTTATTCCGCTCCGTTTAGGCGTGATGGCGAGCTGGCAGGTCTGTCGCCTCGTCCAGCGAGCACCCACGTTCGTGGAAGCCGACTATTCCACTCCGACGACGAGGACCCTGAGGAAATCGGCCGCGCAATTACAAGCGACGTTGGCCACAAGCGACGATCCAGAAGTCTGAGTGGAATCAACAACCCCGAAGCAAGGGCTCACGTTCGCAGACGCAGCGATGAGATCCAGTATTGGCGACAGAGTTACGATCCGGCTTTCTACACGTCACCAGCGACGACCAATCCTCCTGACGACGAGAACCAATTTGCAGGACTTGCACCAATGGACATGCCCGAATCCCCGGTTTCCCCTATAGAGCAAGCACAAACGCCCATGCGCACTCCCCCTCAACCGTTCTCTTTCGGCAATTTGACTCACATGAACGTCATGGCGGGCATGAAGATCACACAAGCAGCCAGTATCGAGACTCGGATCGAGACTTTGGAGAGCAGGATGCAGCGTATGGAAGACGTGGTCACTCAACTGTGCAACTCGGTTCCTGGATTCCAGGTCCAGATGACCCAGCCAGGTCGACCTGCGCCGCCTGTGCCTCCCTCGCAATCGAGCACTGCTGTGAATCCCACTCTTCAGCAGGTCGCGCGCCAAAGTGCTCCGAGTTCGAGGTACAGCAACTCGGCACAATCAAACACCTCTTTTGGCGAAGCTCCTACATATGTCGGTTCTCTGCACGTTCACACCGGCATGAACCGGCCAACCTCCAACGCGACTATTCGCGGCGTCACCAGTTTGCCTGCTATGCCTCGCGCTGAAGCCGGCCGGACCACCGAGACCTTTACGGCGGATCATTACACGATGCTCCTCGCGCTCCTCGAGACCGAGAGGTCTTCTAGACAGGCCCTTGAATCTCAGGTGAAGAAGCTCACGAGGCGCATCAACATGATTTCGGGACCGACTGGCAATGGCCGCATGTCTCTGCAGATGGAGCCCCCGCCGACCGCCAAGTCATTCGGCAGCGTATCGGCTTTCGATCATGACTCATCGGACGACGAAGATGCTGCCGCACGGAACCGCCGTTTCTTGGCTGAGGATTCCGGCGTTGGCACTGGTGTCGGAGACGATGACTCGTACTCGGAGGTCTTTGCCACCCCGAAGGAGGAGCAGTCGCACGGCTACGGCGCCTTCGGGGAGGATTTGCTCGACGAGGACGATGATCCTGCGCGTAAGAAGGCGGCCAGGACACTGTCCCTCAGCCGGATGACGCTGGGCAAGAAGGCGTCGAGAACGGGAGTACGAAGTTGACGCAGTCGGCCGCTTTCTAGTGCGTTGTTTTCTTTTTGAGATTTCTCATTATACCCCGGGATATTCCTCCCACTCATGAGACGACGACGTGGTTCTTTTCTCGGCAGTTGTTGAGTTGAAGTCTCGCTCGTCTTAGCGATTCGGCATTGATACCTCATCGGAATTTCTGACGAATTCAGCATTATTACGGTAGCGGAGTCTTTGTTGCATTAATCTGTTCTCTTCTAGTTTGCTCTTGTATATGACTACCCATTTCCGTTCTGGACGAAGCAGTTGGAACAGTCTTGATGGGATACATCCCTATGACGCGGATTTCTTTTTCTTTGGGTTTCATTTCGTTTCTGAGAGTCTGGCCGTGTTGGCGGGGATGAAGACTTCCAGAGCTCGTCAGCAAGTAGTGCCGCGCGCATCGTCATTTCCATGTGTTCAAGGGCCAGCGTAAGCCTGGGAAGTTTCACGTTGCGAGCGGTGGAGGTGCCAATTTGCGGTCGCGTACCGCTGTTCGTGGTGCCAGGTGGGATCGAAGATAGCTAATAGCTTGAGTGCCGCACTCTGAAGCCTTTTCAGGGTGTGCGCGTGTACAATATTAAAAACATGTTCAGACACGTACTAAGTCTTTGAGATGATGATCATGTCGATCGTCTGGAGTTGCACTGTCACTCGTACGATGGTCCCGCCTGGGTTATTGCAAATCCATCGTGGAAGCCACATGGCCGGCGTCCGCTTTGTCCACAGAGAAGTTGTGCACCCGAGCCTGCCGTGGCGACGAAACGAACAGCGGGCCGGAAAGACAAGGCTAAGGGACAAGGTCGCCCAGTGCCAATCTCCGGGTTGTCATCTCGGGAAGAGGAAGAGGAACTGGACCAAAATGTTTCGAGAACAATTCTCGGTTCCAGTCACCCATATCGCCGCTAGCATGCCGTTGGGAATGGGGAACGGGGAAATCTAGCAAGGGCTGGGCCGGGGCCATCAAGCAATTGTTTCCAGGTCCGCTCTGCCCCACAGCCGTGATTTGACAACTGCTCTCCGAATGGTCCGAAACATGCCGTATTCCAGAGTCAGCCTGTTCAAGTAGCGGCTAGTTATTTAGGCATTGTGCGCATAGCATAAAGCTGGACTACCTGGAAGTCCGAAGGGGCAATCGCCGGCCGCTCGCCGCGCCCGCGACCGAGTCATCCCCGTATCCATCCCCCGCCTCCGAAAGATTGCGGCGCCGTCTGCTCGGGTGGACCTACGTAAGCAGAACATAAACCGACCACTAAGGACGCCCAGAGATAGGCAGCTAATCTGCCACGCACAACCTCTACCTACTAAGTACTAAGTATGCTAGCTTCCCGCGCGACATAACCCAAAGATACGCACATACCAACGACTGCCCGCCAGACCAGCCTCCCGTCCCGCGCGTGCTCCTCGTGGTGAAAAGCATATTTCGCATCCATCATTTTTTTCTTCCCTACCTCTCCAACCCCTCGCCGCCACCAAAACCCCTCTCCGTTTGTGCCGTGACATCAACGTCCCCAATTTTGCGCTCGAACGTCATTGCCTCCTCCGCACCCCGTAGAGGATACGTCGCTCGCAATCTTTGGTCGCGTCCCCGAATCCCCTCAAACTCGGAAATCCTCAACAAACCGTCGCAAAAATGTCCGGCTGGGTAGATTGGTCAAAGACCACGCGGTCCTCCGACTACCGCGGGTCAACCTCCTTCGCAACCTTCATGATCATTGGGCGTATGTGGCAAAACCTCCCCCCTCCTCTCAGTCACCTTGTCTTCGCCGGCGCAATGATGCTAACGCGCGCACAGCAACCTGCTTCTTCCTCGGGATCCTCTTCGCCTCGTTCCCCTACGACTTCCCCCTCCTCTGGACCTCCGCCCCCGTCCCCGAGTCCTTCTACGCCCACCTCGAGACGCACCTCAAGTTCATGCACCAGTCCCCGCCCCTCATCGGCCGCCTCCTTAACATCATCGTCTTCACCGGCTTCCTCGGCTTCTTCATCAAGCTCTTCCGCCCCTCCGAGGCCAACGTCCTCTTCGACGGCGCCTCTCTCGTCCTCTACCTCATCGGCGTCGGCGTCTACATCACAAACATTGTCAAGGGCCTGCGCTCCGTCAGCGCCGGCATCTGGGACGACCCCAACTGGGCCGCCAACAACAGCGGCGGCGACGACAACGGCGAGGTCATCCTCGGCAAGGAGGACAGCCTGAAGGTCCTGGCCGCGAGCAACACCATCCTCGCGCTCGTCCTCGTCGGCGTCCTGGTGTTGCAGGCCGGGCAGTGGTACGCCGAGCGCAAGGACCGCGAGGACTTTGCCAAGCTCGAGGAGGAGGAGAACAAGAAGGGCGCGTCGTCCAAGAAGAAGCAGTAAGGTGTCGGTTGTCACGGCGCACTTGTCTAAATAGCAAGTGGGGCAGGCGGCTTGCATTGTAACGAGAGCAGTTGGCTTCCTCCTTCATGCGGAGTTTGGGTGGGACGTTATATGTCATGAACTTTGTATGTCATTAATGCAATGTATGCACGCGACCATCGCTTCAGCGAGTCGCTCAGTTACTGTCAAAAGACACAATGTGTTGAATACACCATGTCTAACGTCTTTTTTTGTATTCTGGGTCTGTCTACCCATGGGTCAACAAGGTGCTAAAAACAACTAATGAAATCTTTTCATGTGATGACCATGCCCCTTGTCTTTTCTTCTCATCTGCTCTTTACTCCATCATGCAACATACGCTTACTCAAGCTTGAGCTGCTCAAACTGCTTAATCGTACCCTCGAAACCCCTGGCCTCAGACTCGAGGTCGACAACCTTCTGCCTGTCGGCCTTCTGAACGGCCTCCGCGACCTTCTCCTGGTAAGCGGGGTCCTCAACCAGCTTGCGCTGCTTCTCGATGTTGGTGCGGGCCTTGTCGAGCTTCTTCTTGGCCTTCTCGATCTCGGCGTCCAGGTCGACGCGGCCCTTGACGTGGAGGTAGACCGAGGCGGAAGAAGCGACGGGGAAGGCGACGCAGCCGGCGGGGCGGGCAGCATCGGGGGCGACGATGTCGATGCCGGTGACGCCCTTGCCACTGAGAGACTTGATGGAGGCAACCTGCTCCTCGATGGTGGAAGCAGAGGTGGCGTCGTGGGCCTGGATAATGACTGCAATTTGTTAGTGACTGATATACACATAACATATAGGAAAACCTACTTCTAGCCTCCTCCTTTTGGGCGTACTCGCTCATGAGCGATCTCGCGGCGCGAGAGCAACCCAGGACAAGCTCGTAAGCGGCCTCGGACTTGGGGTCATCAAGCTTGGCGTTGTAGACGGGGTAGCTGGCCAACATGATGGACCTGGTCTTGTCCTCGGGACGGCGGGGCAGGCGCTGCCACAGTTCTTCCGTGATAAAGGGAGTGAAAGGGTGAATCATGGTCAGCGCTCCCTCAATAGCAGTGTAGAGGGTCTGGACAGCGCTAGCCTTCTCCTCCTCGGTACCATCCTGGATAATGGCCTTGCTGTTCTCGATGTAGACGTCGCACAGGTGGCTGAGGATGTACTGGTAAACGATGCCCGTGGCGTGCTGGAACTCGCGCTCGCCCAAAGCGGTGTTGATGTCCTTGGCAGCGGTGTTGAGCTTGTGAAGAATCCACTTCTCAGCAAGCGTCTTGCCGGCGGCAGGCTCCTTAAGAGGGACGAAGTCCTCAGGCAGCTTGCCGAGGACGTACTTGGACGCCTGCCAGATCTTGTTGCAGAACTTTCTCCAGCCGTGCATAACCTTGACGTCAAAGTTGACATCGCCACTTGTCGAGGTAAGCGCAGCCATGGTGAAGCGGAGGGCGTCGGCACCATTGCGAGGCAGGCCCTCGGGGAAGGCCGTCTTCTGGTACTTCTCGGCCTTCTGGACCTCGCTCGGGTGCAGGTTACCGGTGCGGAGCTTGGCGTGGAGGTCTGGCAGAGAGATACCGGAGATAGCATCCAAGGGGTCGATGACGTTGCCCAGAGATTTGCTCATCTTGCGACCCTCAGAGTCACGGACGAGACTGTGGCAGTACACCTCGGTGAAGGGAACCTGGCCAGTAAGCTTGATGCCAAGCATGACCATACGCGCGATCCAGAAGAACAGAATATCCCAGCCAGTCTCAAGGACGGAAGTAGGGTACAGCTCAGCCAGATCGTTAGTCTTGTTGGGCCAGCCCAGGGTAGAGAAGGGCCAGAGGCCAGAGGAGAACCAGGTGTCAAGGACATCTTCATCCTGCTCCAGGGTGAACTTCTTGCCGGGGAGGGCAGCCTTGGCCTTGGCCTCAGCCTCCTCGCGAGTCTTTCCAGCGAACCATTGCTTGCTGTCCAACGAGTCGGACTGTTCACCCTCAACCTTGGCCAGGTAGACGGGGCAGCGGTGTCCCCACCAGAGCTGACGAGAGATACACCAGTCGTTGATGTTGGCCATCCAAGCGTAGAAGCTGCGCTCAGAAGACTCGGGGCGAATCTTGATCCTGCCATCCTTGACAGCAGCAACGGCGTCATCGGCCATGCTGCGCATGCTCATGTACCACTGAGGCTTCAGCAGAGGCTCAATGACATCCTTGGAGCGCTCACAGAGGGGAATGGTCATGGCGTTGTCCTTCTTGTCAACGTAGAGGCCGAGGCTCTTGAGCTCATCCTGGATGGCGTAACGGACGTCGAATCTCTTTTGGCCCTGGTACTTGCCACCGTTCTCGTTGATGTTACCATCATCGGTGAGAATGTTTATGAACTCAAGGCCGTGCTTCTGACCAAGGTTGAAATCGTTGGGGTCGTGGGCGGGGGTCAGCTTGACGGCTCCAGTACCGAACTCCCTGTCGACATAAGTGTCGGCGACAATGGGCAGGAAGCGGCCCTCAATGATAGGGTGCTTGGCCCTCTTTCCAACAAGGTGCGTGTATCTGGGGTCCTCGGGGTGGACGGCGATACCAGAGTCACCCAGCATCGTCTCAATACGGGTGGTGGCGACCTCGAGGAACTCATCAGAGCCCTCAATGGGGTACTTGAAG